GAAGCAAGGAAGCAAGGAGGCAAGGAGGCAAGGAGGCAAGGAGGCAAGGAGGCAAGGAGGCAAGGAGGCAATGGGTACTATTGTACTATTATATGGGTACTAAGCACTATTTGTTTTGACATGAATAAAAACCAATAACTTACATTGTGGGAAAAACAAGCAGATAAGACCATAACCAATGGTTGTCACGGACATCAAAACAGCTGCAGTAATTTCATCCATACCCATATTTACCAACCCGCCAACAATGAATAAGATGACAATTGAAGGCCTAATAAAGAGAGAGGGAAAAAAACCACAAAAATAGTTACTTACAATTTCCTCGAAAAGTTCGGAAATTATTTTCCCCCTCTGGTAGACGCGGGTATGTTCTACCAGAAGTCTATATTTCCCGCCGTTTTCCCCCTGGTAGACGCGTGTAAGATTTACCGGATGTCCACATGTCCTGCTTTTCTTCTGGTAGATGCGTGTTGTATTTACTGGAAGTTCAAGTCCCCCCTTTTTTCTGGTAGACGCGTGTACCATTTCCCGCTTTTTTTGTTAATCGCAGTGCACCATTAACCGGAAGTCTACATGCACCTCGTGGTCACTACTTTGAGTCCGACCCTCGTTAACAATATCATTAATCTAGCGTCCGACATTTGAGTCCATTCTGTTTTGTCATAACCAAGCAATCATTATGTAGTCAATTAGTAGCTGTTATGCTATTTTGCTACACCGTACTGAAGACATCCAAGGAGGTCGAAACAGCTTTGCACGGTAGCATTTTGACTTTCAGTTTGGACTTTATTATGTCGAGGTCGTGTCAAGTATTTAACGTAGTATCAAAATAAATAAATAGATAAATCACTTTTATTTAAGTGTCTAGTCGTTCCAGGGCTTTCGCACTAATTGGGGACACTTTTCACTCACACGCACTACCACTACATTTAATATTCTATGCACACAACGCTCAACTCACATGTTGATTTTTATGGAGGGAGGAAACCGGAGAACCCGGAGAAAACCCTCGTAGCATAGGAGAGAACAACACATCAAACAAACTCAATTCACATGTGGCGACCGCAGGGCTCGAACCAGCGACCCGACCCGTTGGACTCACAGCGGTGAAAGACGACRCGTTAGCCGCGAACGCCACCCATGCTACCTATGGTTATAGCCTTGGTTATAATTTGTTTCTAATCTTTTGGCATGGTCTTATTTTACTTACCCAATCAGGGTAGCACAAAGAAGAACCACTTGATATATTATGAAAGGAAAAGAGATGTTTTCATTATTTTTTAAGACAGTTCGCCACTCGCTGACCAGCAGACCAAGATTTGCCAAAGTGGAAGGCATCCAGCGCCGACGCTGTTTGTAAAATTCCTCAAACTCCATCGGACAGTAGGTCTGGTCTTCTGCGGCTGCGCAGTATGCTAGTCGCCAGCCTGCCTGAACCATCAGTGTGCACATCCAGCGGTCTTCACCTAAAAAAATAAGTTATTTTACTGTGTTATTGACTTAAAAGATGATGCCAAGAGATTGATAAGTGGATGGGTGGGAGAGTTGGCGAGGGATGGAGGGATGGATGGATGGATGGATGGATGGATGGATGAATAGGGTTCATGGGTGGATGGGCGAAAGAGTCTCTACCTACCCATGTCCTTGGTTAAGAATTCGAAAGCCTCGCTAACAGTGGTTGAATATGTTGGAAGAATATCTCGAACAGCCTGACATCGATAAAGACTGAAACATCCAGGACAGCAAAGAACTGAGCCAAAGACGTGATTGGCTACCTAATAAAACGAGGCAGTGAAGATTTAAAACAAGTTATATAGCATATTTCGTATTGTCATACACAACCTATGTAACTGGAAATCAAATAGCTGAATGGAAAGATGGGTGGACGTATGGATGAGTTGTAGGGCAAGATTGATAGGATCGAGTGAGCAGGGAAGAAAGGAAGGAAGGAAGGAAGGAAGGAAGGAAGGCAGGAAGGCAGGAAGGGAGGAAGGGAGGAAGGGAGGAAGGAACGAAGGAATGAAGGAACGAACGAACGAACGAAGGAAGAAAGGAAGGAAGGGTGGGAGTAAGGAAGGAAGGAAGGAAGGGAGGGAGGAACCAAGAAAATTGCACAGTGTAACAGTGTAATTTACAACTTGCAACGCTACATTTTCAAGCATTGCGAGACAAGTCACTGAGAAAATTATACAGTGTGACTACTGCCTTAACAAGAGTGCATTAAAATTACCTTCATAAACCAATGGCCAATGGCATAATCGAATATCTGGTACCACACCATGGGACCATTACCAAGAGGATGGGTACGACCACAAACAGCTCCTATTCCTTCATCCTGTACCATATAATCCAGCAAAGCCTCCATGGATTCGTGCGTAAACTTTACATCTGCATCAGTGGTCAAGATGTACGTCTGGTCGTCAGGAACTGTAAAGATAATCAATGCCATTTGTGATTCATGGTTCCGACTCCTCTTGATTATACTATTGGTTTGTCATTGTCCGAATCCAAATCATTATTTTTTTTAGGCTTAGGAATCATAAGAGAATCAAAAGACAATGACATTGCAACTTAACTTAAATCAATATTTAAACGATTAGGTGATGCATTGCACATGAAAGAAAGTTTGGGACGATATTTTCCCATGTTAGGCTTTGTCAATCCTTTAGTGATAAAAACGTTTTGATTGCATCGTGACGTCCTTCAATTCTCAAAAAAAACGGTTCTCAGGGAAGTAACACATGGTCTGGACTGGAAACTTAACTACATTGTCCAAAAGAAATAACTTGGTAATTACCATTGTAAATGCGTTGTTTGTAGTCCAAGATGTAAGACATATACATCACCTGGCTCCATCTTTTTTTGTTTTTTACCTGTGTCACAAAACAATTCAAAAAATTAGACAAAGAACAGCAGTTAAAGTTAAGTTCAAGAGGGCAGTGAAACTCTGTTAGTACTGGCAGTGACATCGGAGGAAAGAAACTCGTCAAAAAATATTTTATGAAAGCAATATAAAAATGCTGCTTACGTCTTAGTATTGAGACTAACTGAAACTCTGGGAATTGCGCCTAAATTCCTAAGCTTGCTTTTCTCGTGCTCTACAATAATAATATAATACAGCTCTTCTCCCTCCCACGCTTCAAAGGAACGAAGCTGTAGTTTTCACAAGAGCCTCGAAGTTCTACCAGAATCAAAGCGCGTTTATATCAAAGAACAGAGACTTGAGCGCGCGCTTTAAATTCTTTGAATTTAGAGGTACCTTCGTGTTGTCCTTGAGGTGAATGGTAACAGGCAGACCTCCAGGAAGGGTCCACCTAAGCTGCATTCCGTAAGGTGTCAAAACTTTAGTCACGTCAGCCAGCTTTACTTTGAGAGTGTATTCCACCACTGATGCCAGCTGTAATATATAACTATTCATCACCTCAGCCTTGATACACCCGTCAAAGAATATGTGGGACTCCACGTGCCGGCCCGCGTCTTTGAAGTGGACGTCAATGTCGTGTATTGATGAAAGAAGTTGTTCCATTTCTTGTTGGACCTCGTGGTACATCGTGGTGCATATGAACACGTAGCTGTCACGTGCCAGGCGTTTAGAGGCCACGTGCTTGTCGTCTGTCACTTTGTTTCGTCGATTGAGAAGGAGAAATGGTTCAAGGAGTATCCCTTTGGTTTTCGAGGAAAAAAATTAGCGCAAATTTACAAAGATAAGAGATAGGCGGAATTTTAAAGGGAAATTGGTCTTATAGCCGTTTACGGTTTGGGTTTATTTCGTTCAAGGTCCTTGTGATACACGTGGTCTAAATAAGCTAAATAAGATGGCGTCAAAGCAGCTAAATTTCGATCTAAAGAGCATTGGCAACCTATCGTTATGACCTCCAAATTGAGCTGCATTCTGACGTGCTGCGAGGGGTCTATAGTCCTTTAAATGGAGCAATTTGTAGTGAATTTTGAATGGAGGCATTTTACGAGTAAGAATTTATCTCTCTTGGAGGAGCAATCAGCCCAGAAGGGGCATCAAATTTTCCCCCGGGATTCGCTTTACCCTATTTTCTCATGATGTAACCCAAATTAACCCAAACCTAGTAACCAAAAAAACCAATCTAGCCCAAAATCCCCCTTTAAATGTGCATGTGTAGCTACCTACCTGTGTATGATGGGAGCCAAAACAAATGAGACGCTTTCCCCATGATGTAGCCCATATTGGCCCAAACATAGTAACCAGTGGATAAAAACTGCCCCGTTAGCATAAGAACAGCAACGGCTATCATATAATAAAGTTCTTCTCCCTCCTGTGGACCACATCTCAAAGGAATAAAGCTGTGGTTTTCACAAGAGCCTCGAACTTCTATCAGAATCAAAGCCAAAGGTGTTGCCAACGTCAGGGGTAGAGCAAAAGCCGGTCTTTGAGCGTACATGGAACAGGCAAGCCACGCCATGTGATACCCAATGAAAGTCACTAATATCTGAGTTAGAAAGAAGTAGAATGCTGGGTGGTCGGAGGATATTAAATCAAAACCTTTGCCTAATTTATCCAAATCAACTATCCCAAGGCCTTTGCAAAATATCACCGATGCCAAAGGTGTTGTTATGAGTTGTACTAAAGCCATCACAATGGCGGCCTTTTCTCTCGCTGCTTGTTTCCTTGGTGGAGGAGGGGAATCTAGTGTGACGTTTGGGGCAACTGAAACCGCTTCATCATCGTCTTCGAAGTCAAAGTCTTCGAATGATCCATGGTGAGCAGGGGGATCAACAGCAGCAACGGGAGTCACTGGCTTTGTCTGAAGTCTCCGGATCTTTGGGGACCAAGCGATCGACAACAGAGCAATGGTGATAGGGATTGCGAATTTGGCTGTTGTTTCCATCATTTCCTGTGAAAAAAAAAATATTTATAGTAAATCTAGTATGACACCAAAACTGGGTTGGTTCATTGTTCCTTCTTTACCTCATAAACCTGCAAGGCTTAGATGAGCCCAGAGGTTGTTTCAGGGTTCCATCTTTGAATTAGCCGTGCCCTGACTTAGATCAGCCCAGAGGTTGTTTCAGGGTTCGATCTGTGAATTAGCCATGCCCTGACTTTGATCAACCCAGAGGTTGTTTCAGGATTCAATTTGTGAGCTAGCCATGCCCTGACTTAGATCAGCCCAGAGGTTGTTTCAGGGTTCGATCTGTGAGTTAGCCCTGCCACTGACTTAGATCAGCCCAGAGGTTGTTTCAGGGTTCGATCCGTGAGTTAGCCATGCCCTGACTTAGATCAGCCCAGAGGTTGTTTCAGGTATCACTAAGATTTGAAAGTTGTTTGAAGGTTATGTTGTGTACAAATTTTTCTGGGTCTTACTTGTTGTTCCAAATTTTATTGTATTCTGGGTTAGGGTTTTTGCTTTGCAGGGTATAGTGTTTAGCTTCAAATTCATAATCTTTGGCTATTGTATTTTAGGAAACTGGTGACCCTGTGGCCTTGCAACACCAAGAAAGAGCCCCTTTTCTCACCTTTTTGGTGTAAACAAGTAAAATCAATCCAGTTATTTGCATCCCAGCTGCAATCGTAAATGTGACTATCCTCATCTTGCCCTTCTTGGTTTCCCATCTCTTGGCATATAGAGATATTTGAATAATCGTTGGAATAACGAATAAGCCAGAGATGAACAGTAGAAAGAGACTTGGCTCGATATTTAGTACGGTTAGGACGTAAATACATAGAAAAGAAAGACAAGAAGCTTCGATTATTCCACCAAAGATGATCTGTTATAGAAAAAATAAATAAATAAATAAAAATTTTCATAATAGCATACGAGAGACTTCAATGTTTACCGATTTTAGACCACCATACTCTAGAGAATACTATTTTTTGTTGCGTTTTTTACATGCCAGCACCATGGTCTTTTATCATTATTAGTTACACTATGACGATATCGAGAGAAACAACCCGCGAATTTACTTTTTAGATAGATAGATAAACTTTATTTACCTCCGGCCTAGGTTTTACATGAAGCTTGTTAGGCCTCTAGCATATATTTACTAACTAATTATCCGAGAAAATGAGTTAAAAGAAGTAGAGGATATTACATGGGCGCGCTGAGATACGAAATTTATCTTTGAGTGTTGAAAATATTTTCAACACGAGAAGATAAATTTCGTATCTCCAAGCCTCCATGTAATATTCTGTTTATTATATAAATTAATTATCCATAAAATCACTTTAATAAGCTTTTTATTATTATAAAAAGTTTTTATTTGTAAACTAATAGCTTAAATAAACAGATTAAACGATATTTTCACATGTGAAAATAACAGTTTTTCGAAAAGGAGAAATATAGGTATTTTATGGATAATTATACGATAAAAGATAATGATAAATAAAGAAAAAATGATAATATTTATAATCTTAGGACACTGTTACAGAATTATAGAATATAGAGATTTTTATTGTTGCTAGAAATTTATTGTAACTGATTGTATATATACATTTTTTTCCGAACCATTTTAAAGACAATGATTTTATAGGGACATCTATTTAAATATATTGTAGTTAGTTTCCTTTTAGACTGTATAGGTTACGTTGTGCGCCCTATACAGGTCATAGATTTTTTGCATCTATACGTTTTAGTACTGCACATAATAATAATAATAATAATAATAATAATAATAATAATAGTAGTAATAATAATAATGATGATGATGATGATAATAATAATCATAGTAATAATAATAATAATAATAATTTATTACTGATATAGCCCTATTCACAATAGAAGATCAATAGCGCTTTACACAAATAATAAATATGTATATATACAAAATGAAATTAATGTATACGAATAGAATGCTCATATGCTTATGAAAAATACTATAATAATTATAATTATATCGTAAATACTAATTATAAATATACAAATGTGAAAAAACCTTTATTATTTTTTATATAGTTATTGCATTATTATACATACTTAAACTGAAAATTTAAGATTTAAAGTTTCAAATTTAAAGTTATAGGAACGTGAAGTTAAATAAATAGAGAAAACTGAAAATTTCAAAGTTGTATTAAATCAAAAGCAGATAAGCTCCTCACTGCCTTTTTGATACTTATTTAACTTTCGAAGTAAGAGATATTTGTTATACTTATAAAACAATTTATTTCTAAAACGAAAATTCCGTGTTCCCAAAATATTTGGAGAAGCCGTCAAACAATTTCAGTTGATCAAAGTGACAAGGCTTGTGGAAACTTGTCGAGTGTGTTGCTAAATTTAGCGAAATGATTCAAGCCAATGACCAAAGTCAAATGAAAAGTCGTTCCGCATTCCAACAGGCCGTTTGCATAATGGCGTCATTTTACTGCACTACCAAAATACTTTGCTAATTTTCTTCCTTTTCAAATTGGTATTCCATTATAAGAATAGTAAGAAAATAGCTGCTAATTTAACTATTCAAAACTGTGTTCAATGGATTTTGTATAGTGGTAGTAGATGACGCCATTATGAAAGTGTCCAATAACGCAGCGCACTGATTCTGAAAATAGCTTAAAGATTCGGACGAAGATTGCATTCTGTTTAACCGCTACGAGGATTATACGAACCGATTTTATTATTTTTACTTAAAGTTACAATAATAACCCATGTAAACTAAGATCAACTGCGATCGGCTGTGAAAATTATCTGCTGAAAGTAAAATTGTAAATTTGTTTGTCCGAATTTCGCCTTTGTCTTCGGTCTTCGTCTTTATGACGTCACAGTTGCGCTGCGCTATTGGTATTTCCTTTACGTAATTCACTCATATTGATTACGTAAAAGAATGTTTTGATGAGGAAAACGTTTCAACTGAAAGGGATGATACCGTATAACTGAATATTTAATGATTTTTCTTTTTGGAACACACTGACTTTAACATCTTGTCACAGTTAAATATATGGACTACAAGATATTTTGAAGAAATAAAAAACGCGCACGTGCTGTGTGCAGTTATGAAGCACACGGGGGTTGGCAGAACACGAGAGAAGTATTAAGAGAAGCATAACGCGTAGCGGAGTGCTTCTTGACAATTCTCGAGTGTTTTACCATCGCTAAGTGCTTTATAACTCCACACAGCACAGTAAGCATTTTTTTATTTCTTTTATTTCTTTTGTTTTTTAATTATTGTATTAAAAATATTGGAGATATAACGCGCGCGCTGATTGGCTGGCTACCGTGCTTATATCAGGACAGAGACACTCAAAATCATTCAAAAATATTTTATAAAGGCATTATAAAACTGCTGCTCATGTCTCTGTGCTGTGATATAAACACTCTGCAAGCTGTAGAGCACTCGAGAAGCAAGAGAAACACAGCTACAGCTCCCAGCGTGTTTATATTACTGTACAGAGACATGAGTTTTATATTCCTTAATTATAGTTCGCTATAATCATAAGACCCTGACCCTGAATCAGATCACAGCTATCTCATTCAATCTGTCACGTCTGCGCCCTGGCTTAGATCAGCCCAAAGGTTGTTTCAGAGTATCGATAAAAAATAAAGGTTTTTGAAATTATTTATTATCATTATTGATTAAGATACCAATAGCTAAGATAAGATACCATGGTTCATCTAAATGACATTGAATATTGTTGGTCCGTTGAAGTCACTCACGCAACAGGACAAATATGAATCTAGACTCTTATGGAAGATAACGTGTGCAAAGGCTCGTCGCTCGTTTTCAAAATAACATGTCTACGCTTAAGGATAATGTTTTTCGGATTTCCAAAGGCTGTCTGACCTTCTGCTCCAGACTTTAGTAAAAGAAGGTTCAAATTCCATCCCACTGAACAAAGAAAGTCAACGCTTTCTGCTACATCTCAATGGAACCACAACACCGTGAAAGTACGTGAGCTGATTTTCGCACGGATACTTCTAGAAACTTATTGATCATGAAAATATACTCCAATTTCAAAAAAGCGTTGACGGGGCGAGATCTGTATATATTTTATATTTTCTAACCGAAAGGTCAATTTTTACATTTTTCGTATTCTAATCTAAAAGTAGACTACGTTAATTGGCTATGTATATTACTATTTAGGTTGCCCACCTTCCGTGATTGTTCTCTTACAATTCCTATAGTAAGTTCTCTCTTATTACTCTCCTTTGTTTAATCCCAACACAGTTAATTAGAAACTTAACACACGATATTTCAATAACATTCAATAGTATCGCGATTCACTTAATAGTCTCTTATATTTTTGATGAGACGACAATTTGTGGTATTGTCGTTTCAAAATTAAGGTTTCTGATTGGCTAACGATCGACGAAGACGAAAGCTTGAGCGCGCGCGCGTCAAATTTTTACGCTTGTTGCTTGCGTCATAGTGATCGCTCGTAAGGAGAATTTCGCTTTTAATCAACGAAAATCGGTCAGTTTTTTTCCCTTTTTTGTATGATAAATTCTTTAGAATCGCGATACAAAACTAATTACGATTTTGAGACGACAATACCACGAAATATTGACGTGTTATTGTCGTCTCAAAATCGTAATTACTCTATATAATACCGAACACCTTTAACAAATCTGGCTATTAACTAAGATATCTTTGAATCGAAATCTAATACCCCATTCACACCTAAACGTGTTTAGTTAAACTATGTTTTCATTAGGAAAAAAATTGAGAAACTAGAAACCTACAATATAATGAAACTTTCTAAAATATTGTCATAGCAAGACAAAGGATAGTTTACATGCATTATTTCACCAAATATTGTGCAGTGTTCGTAGATAGCTAGCTAGTTTTTAAAACCTGTTTAGTTAAACCACTTTAAACCATGTTTAAGCCTTGGTGTGAATGGGGTATAAAACTTAAACAACCTTTTATATGAAATGAAAAAAATAATTTCCATCAAGAAAATTCTCATTTTTTTGTGTGTGTTCTTTCGTGTTGTGACAGTTTTTATCTAGATTTGAAAGTTGTGTTAATCTTTCTTCTCAAATAGAAAGTCATATTTGTTATAGTTTATCCTATTTACCCAATATTGGTATTTCTTGTCTGTATTATTTATGACTTCCTTTGAAAAATGGCTTCTTAATTTAATGCCAAGTCATGCCGAGATGTCAAAATGATTCCAAAACGAAATCATGAATTTTTCTGAATATATTATTTCTGATTCCAGATGAACGATTTTTCCGCTTTCGTGGTGGATTTGCTTAAACACATATGACATTATTTTACTTTGCAAGCTTATTTGGTTTATATTTATATCAGTTATTAAGGTTATTAAATTCTTAATATTATATTAATTATGTATAATATTATTATTATTATTAAAGTCACCTGTTGTGAGGGTCGAGAAAAGTGAGTTGATAACTTCAGAAAGATTTACTGATAAAGATTTGCATTATGCTACGAGAATGGACTTAATCAATAGAGCCAACTCAAGCAGAAAGCTTTAGCATTTCATAACACATGCCTATAGGATCTCTTCGTCAAAGTGCCTAAAAACGAGTAATTAGCTTCAAGTCCGTGCTTGTTACACCCAATAGCATTTGAAATAAAGATTTTTTCCCCTTCGTTCGTTTGCTTTTGTGTGTAAATGCTTATTTGTGTGTGTCTTCAATTTCAAATGAAGTAGTCAATTGTAAATTACCTATTTGTAGTGCGATTTACGATTATAAATGTAAAACAAAATATGAAATGAAGTTTCCATTATTACTATTATTATTATTATTATCATTATTATTATTATTATTATCATTATTTATTATATTTGAAAAGTTTCTACTTACCCATAAAATCGCACTTTTCCTTGGCCACTTTTGACTCTTCTTTTCCCCCCATATACCATAAAACAAAGAGATTGCTTGCGGGATCATCAAAATGATTACCAGCATTATCACAATCGATTCTTTACTGGAATATTTCGATCGATCCTTGCCATCGGCTTGATGTGCTTTAAATAATGTGTTATTGTCCTTAAGAAGGCTGTATTCATTTCCAATTACGAGTAGACAAATTTTGTTCGCCGTTACACAGAATAAGACCAAAAGCGCTGTTAGTATGACTGCGATGTATTTGGTGGTTATAACGTATACGTTGGTACAGAATTCGTCTTCCTCTTTTGCCTCCCTTTCTTGATTTGCTCTATTCTCTACCGTTAATCTGTAGTTTGATAAGTTAGAGTTATAGGTTTCCCTTGAGATAGATGTATCCGCTATTGATGGGGACGAAGGAAATCCACCTTGGCTAAACCCCATAGGTAAACTCCCGTTAGAGAAAGATGGCGAGTGTTTAAATGGAGGCTCATTTGGGCTCTCGCCACCGGAGCTTTGTCTACCAAAGTTGTCAAAGGATGCAGGTCTGTTTTGGTTTTCATTGGGGTAGCGATATATTTGTTCAGAAGAAGGCCTTCTTTCGCCGGGCAAGGATTCCTGTCCGTCGGGTGATGATGGTCGAGTTCCCGGTTGAACCATGATGGACGGTAAACCATCTAAATGGTCATTCAAAGGCCCTCTGTCGTCAGGCAAGTTTTCTTGTTCGTTGGGAGATGGTGGTTGAGTTCCCGGCTGGACCATGATATGTGGCAGATCAACTAAATTGTTACCCAAAGGCCTTCCATCATCGGGCAAGGATTCTTGTTCGTTTGGTGATGATGGTTGAGATCCTTGTTGAGGCAGTAAACTATTTAAAGCGTCCCTTATATTGTCGTAGGCATTGTCCGACTTTTGTGAATCCATTGAATTCTGCTTGTCATGTTTAGGACTTTTGGGTCTAGATACCTGTTTGGCTCCTGCATCGCTTAGGTCTTCTCTGGAGCCTCTTCTAGGGGTTGGCACGGGTGGCTTTGGCAGAATTGTTTTCGGTCTTGGGGATCTTGGCGGAGTTATAGGCTTTGGCACGGGCCTCCTTGGTGGAGTAAAATTGGGTCTTTCGCGGTTTTGTTGTACTTGTTCTCCTCGGTCCAGGAATAAAGATTTTCTTCTCATAATCCAGTTTTCATGACCTGGTCCTGGAACTCTTATATAATCATCTTTCTTGCTACGGTTATCATTACTTGCATGGGAGCCTTCAGTTAGAGACCTAGCTTGTCCATCCAGAGACTCATATTGATCTGCGCCTGACGTCCTTCGTGGATATTGATCAGTCGCGTTTGATAAATAGTTGTCATAAGAATTAGATCTCTTTCTCGTTAGTAAAGGGCTGTTAGGTATCTTCGGATTACATACCTCGTAGGGATGGTGTGAAATGACGGGGTAGCTTGGACGGCGATTGGGGTCGTAGTCTCTCGGTGGTGTTCTCGGAGAAAGGTGGTCATAGTCGGGTGAACGCGATAATTTTGGTGAACCAGGTCTAGAGTAACCAGTACCTGAGTCCCTGGAAGCATTTCCTAAGCTGTTTCTAGGATTATTCTTTCGGGCATAGTTGTACAACTGTTCTATAGGCTCGTAAATTCTTGAAGAATCTTGGATTTTGTCAATCTCTCCTAACGACCGTGATCGTTTAGTTTTTATAGGTTCGTGAACGTTTTCAGAACTCTTTGGCCTTGGAACGTTTCTCTTTGCTGATACATAGGAACGGCTCCCCCCATTTCCTTCAAACTGACTGACTTCTTGGTCAGATAATCCTTCCGACTCGAAATCCCGGTCATTTTGTAAATAACGTGACGCCAAATTGCTATCAGTTTCTTGCCTCCAAAACTCAGTTACATCAGGATTCGAAGCCGAACGATTATGTCTTGCGAATTTTGGGGAATCACTGCTGAAATATCGCTGAGGAGAAACATTCTTTGTCCTAAGGTTCCTTGCATTTTCAACATATAATCTTCGTTGGGCTTCTTCTCTTTCAAATCTTTGTCGAGGTCTTGATCGATGTTGATTCATTTTGGATTCAGATATTGTCTGCCGGTCACTGCATATTACGTCTATTAACTAAAAACAGAGTAATATCAGGTTATAAAATTTAACGCATTGATAACTCCAATGACGTCATACGAACACGAAAACATGCAAACAATCTGATGTGAATGTAAAGTTGAACAAAGCAGTTGGAAACAAGTCTTAAACGACAAAATCATTTACAGGAAAATATAGATATAGTACGATAACGATTTGAAATTTTTGAGGGATGAAAGTTTCAAAGCTTTGCTAATTGTAAGCATTGCATAATATGCTAATTGTTTTCTTTTTACTCATCACTGGCTTGAATGAACATCGTCGTTTGACACGAAACGAAAATATTCATTTCGCGTCAGCAAAATGTAATCGAACCCCCCATCGATAAGGACAATCAATGGAACAAACAATAACAGGTTGTCGTTCGACCAGGTTGATTAATTGTAAATGCATAACACTGGATCAAAAACGAGTGCCCGCAATAGCAAGGGGTCGTGCCCGTATTAAGCAGGTCATTGTAGTAATAGTAACTAGAGCTGATCAACTGGGCCAAAATCAAGTGTGCCTTATAAACAAGTTAAATGGCAGAAGAAGTTCATGAACTAACTGGAGAATCCTGGCCGGGTTTTCATTAAGTTCTTAGTTAATAGGAAAAGATACTAAACTAATCCTGCTACGGCCTTCATTAAGTTTTAAAATAATTATCATAATAGGAAATGTTTCAGCTGGATAATTTTGCTCGATTACAACACCATTCTTCAAAGTTGGACCCACCGGTGTTTCACAGGAAACACGTAAACATTCCTTCCCGCACGAAAGCCTGCAGCCAAATGAACACGAAAGTCCAGTGACACTTTGCCCTGAAATTATGACTTAGCGCGTTTTGTTGACGAAATTGTTTTAGCCAAGACTTCAAAAGATTTTGTAATCGTAGTAAGTTGTTTTCGTTAGGTATAAATCCCTAATTTGAATTATCTATTTTACGTACGCCAAAACGACAAATAAATATTCAGCGGAAACTAGTTTCGTTTAACTTGAATTCAAGCTCTTCAGACCACACTGTATAATAATCCGTTTGGAAAAGTTACAATCACGCGAACAACACTAAGGGGGGCGCGCGCTCTAATCAAATTAATTGATTGCTGCGCACGGAATAATGAATGTTGACGCAAATATGAAAACATATATATACGTATGTAGCAAGAGTAATTTTCATACAGAACTACGTCATTGTCTGGCGAACGGATGCTTACAGTTTACAGGCGAAAAATGCAGATGTTGGCGGTTTCAGTTGGATAATTTTGCTCGATTACAACATCAATGTAATGTGTAATTTGTAAAGCGCCATTGGACAAAAATGGAAATGGCGCTATATGAGAATAAAGTTATTATTATCATCATCATCATCATCATCATACGAAAATTTACTGGGGTAGTAAAATATCCTGTATAAAACATACTTATCTTACTCAGGGTTTATAGAGTTCAAACAATTAATCCGTGAAACACTAATTACTAAATAGTACAAAATAGTGCTAACTAAACAATAGAAAACAATGGAATTTGCATGAAATTGTGCTAGTAGTGTTACTAAAGTTTCACGGTTATATTGTTTGCACTCTAGTCACT